GAGAAGGGCAGGGCAGACAGGTGGACAGGAAATGGGGGGGTAGGAGGAGCTTGGGGGCGAGACAGAAGCGTTCCACGAGGGAAGAAAAAAGAGGGAGAAAAACCCCCACTGCGTGTGGCCAGGTGGGGACCCTGAACTTCAGTGGACAGCTGGGGAGACAGACCTGGCCAGGGCTGCCCGAAAAGGACGCAGATACAGCTGCACAGACTGCTCTTTCGGGAAGGTTCCCTGGGAAGAGAACTGGTCGGTGGCGGAAGGGAGCGTGCCTTCAAGGGAGGATTTTTCTTTTCATGATGGAGCATACTGGTGGCGTCAGGAGCACTTCTGGGCTCTGGAGACCCATGGGCAAGGGCAGGGCCACAAGCACCAGACCCACAGGCCTATTCCCCACCATGTCACCAGCCCCGAGGACAGAGCCAGGCATTCTGGGGGTGCCCCACATGTGCTGGTCGGATGAGAATCTCTCGAGTGGATGTCTATCTCTGGCATCAGAGAGGGGGTGCCCTGGGCTCACAGTTGGGGAGGCCCATTTCCCTTGCGGGCGGGACAGACCTGGGTTCGAATGCACTCTGCCACTTCCTATGTGCTGACTCAGACCCTTGCTCTCCTCCCTGGTGACATGGCGAGAAGGCTCTGGGCCAGGGACGGGTTGGGGGCCACAGCAGTCCTAGGCGTGTGCTGTGGTGGCTGCGGATGGTGAGGCTGCCGTGGTGGGCTCTTGGGTCGGGCCGTCACTGGACAGGCAGGACCCACCCGAATTGGGGAAAAGAGGGGCTCCAGGGGCAGAATCCAGCCCAACAACTGGCTAGGACCCGAGATAAATGGCTGTTGTCCAAACCAGTGCAACTAGGTCCATCCCTGGGACAGCAGTGGCAGGTGTTCTGGAAAATGATAATCAGAGTGATTTTACCTCTTAATGACATTTATGGGGCACGGACCTTGAGCCAGGTGGGCGGCTAAGCATTTTCATCTCTCTCACTTAAGCCTCATCATAGTACCCGAGGCAGACACCATTATTCCCATTGTACCAGGGAAGAAACAGAGGCGGAAAGAAGGTTCTGGAACCTAGGAAATGCCGTGCCCACCTGTCTCTGCTTTGTTGGCTTCCTCCCACCTACAGGACAGGTTCTACTCTCCTAACGGCCTGGAGAGCCCGGAGCTCCGAGTCCTGGGGAGGAAGGCAGGGCCAGGGGCCGGGGAAGCTGCCAGCCCGAGCCACTCCGCCTACCTGCCTGGTTCGTGGTGATGTTGACGACCGCTGCCCGGCGGGGCTCAGGGCTCAGGTCAGACACACCGTTGACGGCCTCGATCCAGAAGGAGTAGTTCATGTGGGCCAGCAGGTTGGCCACCATCAGACTGGCCCGTACCAGGCTTGTCTGCTGAGGCACGAAGCGGGGGCCGCTCCCACAGGTCTCGCAGTGGCCCAATGCCCAAGGGCAGCGGCGGCACACGGCGTTGTAGGTGATGTCATTGCGGCCACCCAGATCCAGGGGAGGGGCCCATTCCAGGGTCACGGATGTCCCATTCACGCTGGAGATCAGATTCACGGGCGCGGAGGGTGGCCCTGGGGAGAGGAGAGTGACTGGTGGCAGTGGAGGGCATTTACCTGGGCTGGCCCAGCTGCCCTCCATCAGACCAGAAAAGGGCTGGGACTCCCCTATGATATTTGGGGGTCCCCAAGGAAAAGGGCTTGGCCTTGTCCAGCCTCTGGGAGCCCCCTAAGAGCAGACACAGCATCAGATTGGACCACAGTGTCAGGTTTGTGTCCAGAAAGCTAAGCCCCATCCCTTACCATCCCACTGCTGGACCACAGGGATCCCAGGTTTGTACTTCCTGAAGTTTCCATCGGGAACAGGGTGAGAGACGGACAATCCTTGGGGGTGCCCACGGCAGCCACCCTGGATGTGAAAGGCCCTTGCTGTCTCTGCCTCACACACTCCATTCCTTAACCTCTGTGCTTGGTTTACTACACAGATCCCTGAGCCCTGCTGCGGGGTGTGGGGGAGGTGCTGGGAAGCCCAGTGGGGTCTCTGTGGCAGTGTAACCCCCCACTCCCACCCCCCCACCCCCAAGGGAGCCCAGCTGGGCAGCACAGAGATTCTGGAGAGCTGGGGCTGGGGGTTTGGGGGCTGGAGTAGGCTCCTGGGGGTTGGGGATTTGAGTCTGGAGGGCATGGAGGGCAACGTGGAGACCCCTGGGGCTTAGAATTCCAGTTCTCAGCATCCCAGGCAGGGACTTTTAGATCTTAAGAAAATAGAAGAATCTCGGAATCATAGGGAATCATAGAATCTGAAGGCCACGGAATACTAAAAGCCTAGTCTTTTACAGTCTTAAGATTTCTAGAACCTGAGGGCCCTGAATTGTGGATATGGAGGAAAACTGAAGTCTGGCTCGCTGAATACAAGTGTCCCTGATCTAGAGCTGGGCTCACCTTGCCTGCAAACCCCACGGTAGTTACCATGTCACTCAGCCATCCTTTTTGCCTGGGCCGGTCCCACATGGGGTAAACACACAGGCCTGGGCAGAAGGAGGGAGAGAGGGGGGAAGGGAGGGAGGGAGGGAGACTCTGTGTGTGTGTGTGCGCGCGCGCGTGTGCGCGCGCACGCACAGACTCTCACCTGCCACATACAGGGACCCGGGGGGCTTGGCATGAAGGATGTGGGGGGAGAGGGAGATTGGGGACTGAGGCTGAGATAGACTGGGGGGCACAACCAGACAGAACCTTAGGAAGCCCCTGTCACCCCACCACAAGAGACCAGGATTGGCAAACGGGATGGGCTAAGCTGGATGCTGCCTCTCCCAGCTGGCATGGGGGGTGGTGTGAGAGGTCCCTTCAGGCCAGGAGAGGAAGTAATGAAGGAGAACCATCAAATCGCTGGGACAGTCACGCAGCCCTGCAGGCACGGTGCCAGAGTCCCTTGGCATCCCCTCGGGTACACAGGGCATGAGCACACACAACCACACTTCTCCAGGCACATGCACGTCCTCTGCAAAGAGGTGTGCACATGCTGAACCCCCAAGGCACATTCATGAGAGCTCTGCGGGGACTTGGGGGTCCCCTTCAGGGACCTGGATGTGCACACACAGCCATATCAATCCTTTACACACACGGGCATAAAACCCCGACGCTCACACTGGAGCGTACAAACACTACGCAGGCGTCTTCCATAGGAGCAGCTGCTGACACAGACCCACATGGTGTCACCATCACAGCAGGTGTTCCAGAGCCACATGCAGAATCAGACCCACACATGGCAGCATCCGCGCAGGCAGCCACACGCACTCCCAGCACACACTCGTGCACTCACCGCACACACACGGAGGCAGCTCTGACCATCAGGGATGACAGGGATCAGGGGCTCCTCTGATACTCCTCTGCTCCCTGGGAACCTGCTGGCTTGCCCACCCCAGCTCCCAGGACATCAGCCTCACTGCTGGGTCAGGAAATGACCAAAGCCACCTCTCATCGGTCCTCTGAAGCAGGGAGGAAAGACGGAGGGAAGGAAGGAAAGATTCCCCTGAGGAGAGGTGGCAGGTGATGTATGACAGGAAGTGGGGACCCCGAGAGAGGTCAAGGTAGGGACTCCCACCAAGGAGGCAGAGTTAGAGTCACCCCCCCCAGCCCTAGACTGGCCCCTGGTCCAAGAAAGCCACCTGTCCCTGTGTCCCCTCCAGAGTCCTGGCTCCCTGGAGTCTGAGAGCAGGGGGTCCTGGCCTGCTCTTGGTCTCCAGGATTCTGGGGTGCAGGGCGGTACTCACGGGTGCAGGCTGCAGATGGCGGGTCTAGGGATGCGCGGTAGTAGCTGAGGTCACAGCGGCAGGCCTGGGCAGCAGGGGCTGCAGAGTGGCTGTGGAGAGGGCAGCGGGCGCAGAGCTGGTCCCCGGGGGCCGACTTGTAGAAGCCCAGCTCACAGGCTGCGGAGGATAAGGCGGCTTCAGAGGAGCCCACCAGGCTGCCCTGGCCGGCCCTGGGACCGCCCTCACTCTGACCCAGGGCTTCCGGCCGGATCTCCCAGGGGACACCGGTGCAGGCCTTCAGCATGCCCCGGTCCTACCCTTGCTGGCAGATGGAGAGACTGAAGCACACAGAGGGCCTGTGACTTACACAGGGTTGCACAGCTAGGCGGGGGCAGAGCTGGGGCAGGGACCCTGACACCAGAGTCCCAGCCCTGAAGTCGGCTCAGGAAAGAGCCTCTTCACACCAGAGTCACATCTCCTCCTGTGGCCCTTCCTGGCCAGGCCTGTCTCCAGCCTGAATCTGTCCCTCACAGGAACCCGGTCCCTGAGTGAGACACTGCCTCGGAGCGTCAGGAGGCTAGGCATCCAAGGGCTGTGACTTGGGGAGGAAAAAACGCTGGAAGGGAATGGGGTGGGCGGCAGTGTGACTGGTGATAGGAGACACAGGTGATAAGACCCCACTCAGCACAGATTCCAGACGCCACCACAGCCACCTGGTGTGGAAGGGCCAGGCGTGGGGCCCGGGGCTCTGTTTCCCAAGCTCCCAAGCAATGACTACCCGGGACATCGCTGGCTCCCACCCTTCCCAGAGCCTGCGGCACTATCACCGTGCCGCCCCCTCCCCGGTCTCCACCACACCTGCATCATCTTTCACGTGGAGGCCCCAGCCTCCAGCCTGGCCGGGATCCCCCGCCCCAGCCACCAGCCTGACTGCTGCTCATTCCAGCAGTGTTCACGAGCGCCTACTCTGTGCCAGGCACGGATCCAGGCACCAGAGACCCAGCCATGAGTGAGACTCTCAAGGAGGGTGGCTGCCCTCACGGAGCCAGCCTCTTCGAGTGGGAGACATGCAGTAAACGAGGCCGAAACCGTTTCCAGGAAGGAAATACAACGGGGGATATGGCAAAGGGTGATTGGTGGGAGAAGCTACTTTCCCGGAGAAGGAAATGATATTTGAGCCTTGCCTAAAAAAATAAGAACCAGTAGAGACATTCTAGGTTGAGGAACTCCCTAAAACAATGCTGGGCCTGGGACTGCGCAGCAATGCCCGGCGTTCAAAGCCCTGCTGCAGCCTCCTCCCTCCCCACCCGCAGGCTAAACTAAGGAGCTGGCCATTCCCCACATCTGGCAGTTTGCTTCCTGCCTCAGGGCCTTTGCATGGACTGTGCCTTCTTCCTGGGGTGTCTTTTGCCCCCTTGGTCAACCTGTCAAACTCTTTCAAGATTCATTTTAACTGTCCCTTCAAATGAAGCCTTTCTCCACACCTACACACACACACACACACACACACACACACACACACGCACGCACGCAGGTGCACAGAAGCCACCGCTCCCCGCCCCACTTCTGAGCCCCTGCTCAGGACCACCACCTCTCACACACCCTACGGCTGTGCTGTTTAATCTGTAGGTCTGGCTCACCTCCTAAACCAGCAGGTGCTTGTGGGCAGCTCCTTGTGAATAAGGACATCTCAACCTTCCTAGTGTCTGGCTCTGAGCAGAAATTGTCAGCGCCTGTAGAAGGTTTCAAAGTAAGCTAATCCTGCCATTGTCTGCTCTGGGCAGAGAGCGAACTCGGGAGTTCAGGAGAACCGAATGCCACCCAGCCAGGCGGCTCCTGGCTGCACTATGGACCTGACTCCTTTGCCACAGAGACCACCGGGAAGTTTATGGGATTTCTATCCACAAAGTCCCGCTCTGGAAAACTCCGTGCTTGACAGAAGCTTCACTTGAAAAGACATCATGGGGGCACCTGGGTAGCTCAGTGGGTTAAGCCTCTGCCTTCGGCTCAGGTCATGATCTCGGGGTCCTGGGATCGAGCCCCACGTCGGGCTCTCTGCTCTGTGGGGAGCCTGCTTCCTCCTCTCTCTCTGCCTGCCTCTCTGCCTACTTGTGATCTCTCTCTCTGTCAAATAAACAAATAAAATCTTAAAAAAAAAAAAGAAATGCATTTTAAAAAAAAGACATGTCATAAAAAAATAAATAAATAAAATAAAGTCGTATCTCTTTATTCTAAAAGCTAAAATCAAGCTAATTTGTAAAATTCTCCCAGCTCGAGAGAAAAACTGAAGCTGGGAAGAAAGACTCTGTCCTCACATTTGCTTTATGGATTCAGAGGCTGCAGAGCCAGACGAGACCTACAGGCTGGAGAGTGGGAAAACGTGCCTCCGCTCTGACACTTCTTCCACCCCCGGAGAGACCCCAAGGGTTCTCGGGCCTGCCAGGGGGCTGGGCCTCGGCGTTGTGGGGCTCCTAGCTGACGCACTGTGATCTCACCTCCTCCTCCCAGAAGCCCCCTGGTTGACAGAGTCCTGGGGCAAGCCAAAGAGTCCTCCTCGGGGCCCAGGACCCAGGCAGAGGAAGACAGCTTTGCCCTTCATCAGCAAATATGTGGTTCAACCCATCATTGAGCTGAGTGACAGTCGTCCTCATGCTGTGATCAGGCCTGTGTCGGTTAGCGCTTCAGGGACCGCTTGCCCATGCTGCCCCGCATTTGTTCCTTTATCCAAAGTTATTGAGCTGCTACTATGGGGCCAAGCTAAGCAAGAGCTGGCCCTGCTTTCCAGGAGCTGTCTGGGCTGTGACAGGCACGGGGAAGGTGTGGGCGACACCCTCGTGTGATTTGTGGCAGGAAGGACGCATGGAAAGACGGCCCGCAGTTCCTGAGTCTCTGACTGCCCCAGAGATCATCTTGTTCTCATCCGTTAAGAGCAGAAACTCAGGGGCACCTGGGTGGCTCCGTTGTTTAAGCCACTGCCTCTGGCTCAGGTCATGATCCGGAGTCCTGGGATCGAGTCCCATATCGAGCTTCCCCTGCTCTACGGGGAGGCTGCTTCTGCCTCTCCCTCTGCTTGTGCATGCGCTCTCTCTCTCTCTCTCTAATAAATAAATACTTTAGAAAAGAAAAAAAAAAAGAGCACAAACTTGGGAGCAGGCTGCCTGGGTTCCTCTTTTGCTCTAACCCCTTCACCTAGGCTAAGAGATGCTGGGCAGGTGGCCAGGCCTCAGTTTTTTCATCTGTAAAATGGGGACAGTAATAGGCTGCAGCTCCTAGGGCTGTCGTGAGGGTGACGTGAGTAAGTACATGTGAACTTACGCCAGGACCGTGCCTGGCAATTATCCCAGTGCTATGTGGTGGGGACATTGTGCTTGGCAGAGAGGAAAGAGGCGGGGTACCTCGCCCCAGGCTCCCCGCCCGGCCAGAATGCAAACCCAGCTGGGGGAACCTCTGGGGCCCGGGCCTGTCCCCCATCAGCCTCTCAACACGCGTCCGGGGCTTATAGATGGCCCGGCCTTTCTGCTGCTCGCCAGTGGGCGGTTCTCACCCGCTCTGCTAATACGCATATGGCTCTAACGTGTCAAAACCAGATTAATCCGCGCAATGAAAATAAAATAATCTTTAATAAGAATACTAATCACCAGGCCTCGGGGAGCCTGGAGACCTGGAGGCAGAGCCGGGGATGAATGGCTGAGACAGATGGAGCGGCTCTGGGCTGGAGCCCGGGCCCGGCCACCGACCCAGGGCGCTTCCGGAGCCCGCGTGCCCGGCGAGTCGGCCGAGCGCCAGGTGGGGCCGCTGCCCCTGCCGAGGGCACCTCGCCCAGGCTGCCTGCGGCCCCGCCACCTCTCCCCGCTCCCCCACCAAGAGCCCGAGATTTGACAAATAAGGTGTCTGCCAGTGGATGACCAGAGGAAATTAATTCTAAATCAGATTTTAAACACAGTCAGGAAGGCAAAAGAGCTCGGCGCTCGTGCTGCCCCTCCGAAGCGAGACTCTCTGATATTTATAGAAAAATGATTAGGGCCTCCGAGGGTGGTTTGCATTCTGTGTCCAGGTGACGGGAAGGACAGCAACCGGGCCTTCAGCGTCAGGGCTGCTGCTCCCTTGGGTGGTGTTCCGAGAGGGCTTTCCCCTGCCTGGACTGAGGGGGGGCACAGCAGCTAGCTGTGGGGACAGGTCACTGGGCCTGGCACTGTGTCATGAGGGGGGCGCTCTGGCTGGGAGATCTGGGGCCCAATCGACCGCTGCTAGCAGTGTGCCCTTGGGCCAGTCACTTGGGCTCTCTGGACCCCCACCTGCCCACTGGGAAACTAGACCAGCTCCCCTTGGCTCTGATGCTCTCCTGTGGGTCTCTGAGGCCTGAGGACCTGAGGGCTTCTCAGGAAGCCCTCACGGAGCCCGTGACCGGCTTGGTCCCTCCTCCTAGGCTCCACTGTCTTCTCTGTGGAATCAGGTGCTCCCTGGCCACCCTGGAGAGCTGTGAAGGTAAAAGCAGGGGGCAGGGGGCCTGCAGGCTGGGAGGACGACCGTCGCCATCTGGGCTGGCCCCTGCCGCAGGCCTCAGGCTCTGGATCCCCCCCTTTTGCTAGAAGGAAGGCGGTGGGATCAGGCTGGACAAGGCAGGACCCCAGAGCCCAGCCCTTCCTCCTCAATTGTTTGATCAGAGACAACTGCCCGAGGGAGGCGACCAGGGGACCCACGGTCCTCAGGGTGTCCCTCTCAGGTTGGTTGGTGGCAGAGGGGAGCTACAGCTTTGAGAGGACAACTCACGCAGCCCGGAAAGTCACCCCCACTCTGTTCCCGCCTCCTGCTTGGTCTCCAGCCTCCCCACTCTCAGGTTACCTGCCCAAGGAGGGCTGGGGACAGGGGCCCCTGGCAGGGTCGGGTCGCATGCCAGGGCCTCCCATTTGTGGAGGGGCTCAGTGTCAGAGCCGTGCTGCTTCTTCCAAGGAGGTTACCCAGATAATCCCGGGAAACCAATCACAGGAGGGAGAAAAATCTCTCCTCGTGCGACTTGCCACTGGCATTTTGTCCCCAAACCTCTCCGCCTGCAGTGCATTAGGGATTAATATTTTTTTTTATAAAACCTGTAATTATCTTGCAACTGGCATAATTACGTTGTATTGTGATTTAAATGTAAAATTCAAAATATGCTGCAATTTCCTACGTCCACTTCGGCATTTATTATTATTTATTAATGAGCCAACAGTGCCAGGCAGTGGTCATGACTCCAGCCTCTCCCAGCCCTGGGAAGGTCCTGCTGCTCCAGACCTTGGAGCTTCTACCCAGAGTCCTGCCCTTGACTCGCTGTGGGGCCTGGGGCAAGACACATCCCTCACTGGGCTCCAATTCCCAACCCTGTCAAACAAGGAGGCCAGTGTAGGACTTGAGACCTTGGACCCGAAAGTCAGGAAGATCAGTTTCCCTCCCAAGGGCAAGGGTGTCCTGTTGCACACCGGACAGACAAGAGGCTTACTTGTGCTTACAGACTAAACCCAGGGTTGGGGTCAGCGGCTGACCTTGACCAGGTGTCCACTGACCAGCTGGCCTCTTATTACGGCCTATGCTGTACCAGTTAGAGCTGTTCTGCTGTTCCCCCAGGGAGGAGGGAAGCGGGGTTTGGCAGAGGGCTCTGTGGAGAGAGGAAAGCCGTTCAGGGCTCTGGAGGGAGCCAGCCTGAGATCAGAGACCTACTCTGCGGTTTACGTTGAAGGACTCAGTTTCTCACATCTGTAAGATGGGGATATGCTACCTCGCTTAGAGGACTTTTGTAAGCATGAAAACGTGTGTGAACTCCCTAAATCCCCATGCCTGAGACACAACAGTTGCTCAACAGAATGAGAAACTGCCCCGACGAGGAGGAAGTACTTACTAATGTGCCCTGTTCATGGCAAATACTTGAAAATTGTTGCTAAGGGACTTTATTGTCCCCATCAGAAGAAAGGGATACTGGAAGCCAGCTCTGGCAGGGAGAGCAGTCAGGCTGGGCCAGGGGTAGGTTAAATACCTACACGTGGCTTCCAGCAAGACAGACCCAACTCAGGTCCCAGGTCCACCTCTCACCAGCTGTGAGGCCCGTGCAGCCTCAGTTTCCCCATTGGTAAAATGGATCTGTAACACCAGCCTTGCTCCAGTGAGCAAATGAGCTGATATGTGAGCCTCCCTCTGTGAGCTGCAAAGGAACAGGGATGTTGGTTATCATGCAGTGGGGAGTCGAGAAGTACAGGGATGACTGTGACGGGAACCAGGAGAGGCTGAAGCCTGGGAACCTGATAAATGAGGCGAGGGGGGGGGGGGGGGGCAGAACAAGTCCAGAAACAGGTGAATGTCACAGATGATGCTTCGGGGGTTAGGGTCCCTGAGAGGTGAAGACTCATAGCAGTTAAGAAGGACAGCTTAAGGAAACCAGAGAGCCCCAGAGAGGATCTGGAAGGGGCCTGGTGGCTGGATAGAGGGTCCTGATCCCAGAGAAATACCTTGAACACTACCTGAAATTCTTGGCCTGTGCCCTGCTCTATCCTGTGAGCACCAAGGGGTCTTTCCTGCCTGCTTGGGGCCGAGGAGAAGGGCCCCAGATAGGGTCGAGGCCCCAGCCTCTCTGAAACCTGCATAGGAACAGCCTCCTCCCCCAGGAGCACCCGTGGTCCCAACAGCAGGCTTCATTCTGCTCTGAATGGATGAGCAGCCATGTGTCCAGCCCCCCCAGGGGAGGCCAGGGAAGGGCAGAGGGCAACCCGGCCGAGACCAGTACCAGCTGAGGCACCAGCTGTCTGTCCAACCAACTCATGCAGTGTCCCCGGTGCCTGGGATGGCTGGCTACATCGCCCCCACACGGGCACAGTGCAAGTGTCTCACACACAAACACACTTACACACACACACACATACACACGCAGCTTGGGGCCCCGGCCCTGCTCCTGGCCTCTGGCGTGGGAACCCGAGCAGCGCACTCATGGGAATAGGTACCATGCTGTCCCATCCCCCGCCTTCCCTTTATCAAGGACCTTGGCTGTGCTCTCCCACAGGTCCCTGGGGAAGATCCCCCCAGACACAGGCCACTTACACAGGACTCCCTGGGGGCCTCTGCCTGCACAGCTTCCCAGTGGCCCCCTGCTGCACCCCTGCACCCGGGGTCTGCCGCCACTTCCCTCTCCTCCACAAAAGTTTAGTGGTTTTGAGCATGAACACCGGAACCAGACCTCTGGGCTCAAATCGCAGCTCTGCTGCTTCCGAGCTGTGTACCCCTGGGCAAGTTGCTTTGCCTCTCTGTGCTTCAGTCTCATCTATAAAATCAGGGTAACTGTAGCTTCTATGTCATAGGGTAGCTCTGGAGACTAAACGAGTTAATATGTGAAAAGTGCCTAAAACGAGGCCTGACACAAGTGAGCTCACAGTACTGTCCCCTCCCACAGGCATATACGCAGCTGGATGCCCAGTCCTGCAGGTATTCTCAGAGGTATATCTCCACACTGCCCACAGAGAGTAGCATCTGGTTGTAGTGTGTCTCCCTCTCTTCTCCCTTCCCCCTGCTCCATGCGCGCATACGCGCATGCACGCGCGCGCGCGCACACACACACACACACACACACACACACACACACGAGCACAAATGCATGCACCGCCTGCTGTATTTGCTGACCCAGAAATGCTGGAGGGTCACCCATCTTCCCAGATGCTGTTTGCGCCCCCACCCCGATGCCTGCCACCCGCGATTGCACCCCCCCAGACCCTGGCAGCCCCTCCCGGACCGAGCCTGCATGCCGGCGGGCCGCCCGCCCACCCACCCACGCGTGGCGCGCTCACCCACACAGGCATCCCGCCGCTCCTCGTAGCCAGCGCTGCACACGCACTTGCCGATGGGCACCAGCCACTCGCCCTCGGCGCTGCAGTACATCTTGGGCGTGTCCCGCTCCTCGGAGTGCCGCACACACTGGCCCCGCACCTCCACCAGCGAGGACGAGTCGGCCCCCGTCACCGCCTCCGAGAAGGCGGCCAGGTTGCGCACCATAGTGGGGCACTTCTTGTAGTAGATGCGGAGAGACAGGATGGCGAGGCATGCGCCGATGTCCTGGAAGGCCAGGTAGAAGCCACGCTTGCTGAGGGGGCCCACGCCCCGCACCTCCGTGTTGAGCTTGAGGCGTCGCACGCCCAGGTCGGCCCCTGTGAAGCTCTCGTCCGCCGCAATGGTGTCGATTTTGAGGAACTGGCTTTCTTGGGTGCTGGCGCCCAGGTCTCGGTCTGACTCTAGGTAGTAGAGGTTGAAGGTCTCCTTACAGGTGCCCAGCACACCGGGCATGCTGTTGCAGTCACGCAGGGTGAACTTGATCTCGGCGTAGACACGCCGGGCGCCGTCGCGGGGTACCCAGCTCGTGCGCAGCCAGTTGTTCTGGTTGGGGCTCATGACGTTGCACACCTGGTACGTGTGGATGGGCTGGAAGGACTCGTCCACCTCGTTGATGGAGTCCCACTGTGGGCACAGAGAGCGCAGCGCTGAAGTGAGCGTAAGCACACTGCCCCCTCCTGCCAGTTACCCCTGCCCCGCGTGCACGGGGTCAGGACCTCCCTGGGAAGAAGACCAAATGTTCTCTGCCCTTGGGTTACCGACCTTCCCTCTACTGGACCATCACCTCGAGATGTGAGCCCATAGAGTGCCACATCATTCCAAGATAGTGTTATTTGCGGCAGTTTACTGGTGACGAAATAGCTCTGAGCCCCGTGTCTGAAGTCACCCAGCTAGTAAGTGGTAGAACCGGGACTGGAATTGATGCCAAAGGTATAAAACCCAACCTCGTGTCCACATGGCAGCTCCAAACACTCCCAGGGTGGGAGTCTGGGGCTGGGGGTGTGCTTGGCTAAGTCACGGGGCCCATGAGCCCAGTTTCTGTATCAGTTGCCAGAGGGATCTTTTTAATGCAGAGAACTGACTATGCCCCAAATGCTTCAGCAAGGGAGTGCCAGGATGTGGGGAAGTTGAATGTGGTGGCTTCTGTGCCACCTGCTGGTGAGGTGTCAGTGATTCAGAAATAAATCAGACACGATCCACAGAGTGTAAGAAAACCCACCCACGGAATGGGAGGGACATACCTGCAAATCATGTGTCTAATATGGGATTAATAGTCAGAATATATAAAGAACTCCTGTAACTCAACAACAAAAAACCAAACAGCCCAACTGAAAAGCAGGCAAAAGACTTGAATAGATCTTTCTCTAAAGATATACAGATGGTCAAATAATCCATAGAAAAATGGTCACAGTCACTCGGCATTAGCGAAATACAAATCAAAACCACCATGAGAGACGCTTCTCACTCACAAGGACAGCGATTATCTGAACGACAGGAGATAACAAATGTTGGGGAGGATTTGGAGGACCTGGAAAGTGTGTGCCCTCTTGGTGGGACTGTAAGATGGGCAGCTGCTCTGGGAACCAGTGTGGAGCTTCCTCAGAAAGTTGAAAAGAGACCTACCCATTGTCCCACTCAGGACAATGGGAAGCAGGGTCTCCAACAGATACCACACACTCAAGCTCACAGCAGCATTATTCGCGGTAGCCTCAAGGTAGAAAACCCAAATGTGCCCATCATCAGATGACTAGATAAACAAAATGTATCCAAACAATGGGATAGTTTTCAACCTTAAAAAGGAAGGACATTCAGATGCCTGCCACACACAGCTGAGCCTTGAGGACATGACGCAAAGTGAAATAAGCCAGCTGAGAAAGAACGTTGTATGATCCCACTTAAACGAGGTCCTGAGAGCCACAGAAACAGAACGGAATGGTGGTTGCCAGGCACTGCGAGACAGGGGAAGGGTGAGCTGGTGTTTCGCGGACACAGAGCTTCCGTTTGGGAAGATGAAAAGGGTTTTGGAGATGGACGGTGGTGATGGTCATAGGACACAGGGAATGTATTTAATGCCACCGAATCATGGACTTAAAATGTGGCTGTGATGGTAAATGTTACGTGTATTTTACCACTACTAAGAAAGGAATATTCCAGAAACACTCCCTCCCCTTGAGCGTCTCACAGTCCATCAGACAAGGTGGTGGAGGGCTCCATGCCAAATGGGGTGGGCATCCAGGGGATGGTGAAAACTTCCTGCAGGCCGAAGCAGGAAGCTCTTGCAGGGACGGGAGGGAAGAGCCCGCCGAGAGGCCGGGAAGAAAAAGCAATGTTCAGCGAGCACCAGATAGCCCAGCTCGGTCACAGAGGATTCACATGCAAGACCCAGTGCTGAGGAATGAGCCCGGAGTTGAGAGGTCAAGACCTCTCGGTCTCTAACGTGCTGTGTGACCTTGGGCAAGTCCCGGCTCTTCTCTGGGCCCTGGCTTCCTCAACCGCAGAAAGTTGGTTGGCCGGGAGCAGTCACGAGGGGCTGAGTTCCGTGGACTCCTGAGAGCTCTGAGGAGGGGCTGGAGGCTGAGTGCAGATGGAAGGGATGGGCTCTGGGTCCCTGCTTTGGGTTGGCCAGCGGTGCAATGCCTTGCTCTTTTCTCTTGGGCCTCTATGCGCAATTGTCCTTGAACTAAAGATCCTATTGCTTATGGGGGATGGGGGACGTAAAAACCAGTCCTCGTGATGTTCTGAGAATCTTGGGGGTTCTGAGTGACCTGCGAGTGCAGGAGTGGGGACCACGGGGGCCTCAAGTCTTTCCTGACGAAAGCCCCTCCATCTCACCTTATCTTGGCCAGCATGTGGTCTCAACCCTCGGTGCCCACATCTGTAAAATGGGGCTCAGAGAGGCACACTGCGGCGAGGCTTGAGAGAATGAAAGGAGAAGTAGGTTGCCAAGTGCTTGGCTGGGGCCTGGCACAGCAGGGCACCAGAGGAACGGGCCTGCTATGATGCCAGCCTGGCAGTACCTTCCCAGCCCACCTGTGCCTGCCTCCAGGGGGGCCCCTGGGGGAAGAGGTCCAGGGTGTGCCGGCCTCACCTGAAAGCTTACGCCTTCTACATCCCGTACCCTAGAAGGACCCCCTTGGACCCCACACTACATACAGCCAAGGCCTCTGGGCAGTGCTGTGTCACATCTGGGGTTAAAGTCATTGTCACAATTAATGGAGCACTGAAGAGCCAGCCAGCTGCTCTCTGTCTGTTTCCTGCCAGGGACCTGGATAAATTAATCGGCCCCATCTGAGTCTGCTCCAGCCGCTCTACCAATGCCAATGCCCTGGCCTTGTCCTGTCAGCCCCAGGGGCCGCTGCAGACGCCCAGAATGGCGCGAATTCCTGGAGGCTGCTGCAAGGATGGAATGAGCCGTGCTCCCCACCTGGGCACCCCCGCCCCCCGTCCCCGAGGCCTGGGGCCCTCCTCCTCCACCACCCCCCACCCCCGACCGCTCTGTAGCTCTGTGCTCTGTCTGGGACAGAATGCACTGACCCAGCTGTGCAGCCCCGGGGACCTCCCGTCCCCTCTCTGAAGCCTGTGCTTCTCGTACGTGAAGTGGGCTGGCTGACGCCTGCCCCTTCCACCAACTCCAAGGGATGCTGAGGGTCGGGGGGACAACCAAATGTGTCTGTCATCTGGTTAGTGCCTGCTAATTCACCAGATGTGCTGGAACGATGGAATGGGTCCCAGACCGTGCAGGGAGGGGCACAGCCTGATGAAGAGCTGGGTCCAGGGGCCAGATGTCCCCTGACCTCAGCAGAGGGGCTTAACCTCCCAGAGCTTCGGGTTTCTCACGGGGAAAATGTCCCTTTCGTGCATTCTCATTGATAACCACTGCACGGAGCAGGTTCTGTGATCATTCCCGTGTGATAAATGGGGAGGTGGCGGCCAGGTAAGTGACCTGCCTGGGTCACAGTGATTAGAGGCCGCAGAGTACGGGCTCGTCCAGACCCAGCCGCACCCTCGGCCTTCAGGCTGTGCCGCCTCGGCTGACAATCCAGTCACTCTGCTGATGCCGGAGACAGCCCTGGATGGCCCTTGCTCCCAGGCTGTTTAAGAGCCTTCAGAATCCGAGGAACCTCCTGGAGCCTCAAGGACCATGACCACAGGCTCCCTAGCCAGCTAAGCAGGAGAATCACCTGGAAAGCTTATGAAACAAAAGACTGCCAGGCACCTCCTGGGATCCCCTGCATGTGGGGTCCTGTAGCCTCACTTGCTAGCTTGGAACAGGTAAGGTCGAGAGTTTGGGAAGCAGGGATCTCACCCAGCCTTCTTTCCCCTCCGGGCAAGCCCAGTCACCAGCCTCCATAAAGATGGAAGGTGGTCCCCCACTCAGCAGACAATGCTGGGGGGCCTCCCACCTTCTCGCAATGAGGACATAGACTAAAGAGAGGACAAGGGACTCAACCAAGGCTCTGGGCCCGAGCAACTGGAGTTGGAGTCCATCCTCTGGAAACTGATAGCAGGAAAGTTATTCCTGGCTGCTCTGACCTCAGCTTCCTCATCTGTGAAATGGGATGGCTGTACCTACTCACAGGATTGGCTGTGCGGATTAAATGAGATCATGTCTATGAACCGTTCAGAGCTATGTGAATATACATTATTTGTTCTAATTCCCCAACAGGATAAGATAACTCTGAGCCACGCTTTGCGGCACTCTGCAGACAAAAGAATCTTAGATTTCTAGCACAATCAGCGAAAACACAAGTCTGGCCATACTCCACCTGCTTAAAACCCTTACAATTCCTCGAAACACCAAGTCCTGAGCTCTGAGAAGGACAGAGGGACAGAGATATCCAGAGCCAACCTGGGGCCGGGCCCAGTCCTTTCTAGCTGCTGGGTCTCAGGGGAAAAGATGACACAATCATCGGCCCGGCGGTCACCTACTCAAGGGTCAGTTCCATGCCATTGCCAGAGCTGGGTCACTTTCTCAAGCCCTTCCCTACCCTGCTCACCCCTGGGAGGCAGCCATCTGGGGCACACAAAGGAGCATTTCACTGGGAGAAACTGAGGCCCAGGGAGGTAAAGAGACACCTCAAGGACCCTGCCTTTGCCCAGAGGCAGGGCTGAGCTTCTCAGGCAGAAAGTCGTTCCCTCCTGGTTCTTGGGTCCATGGGGTCTGCTGTGAAACTCCCCGAAGCCTGGAGCACGGGAGCTGATGACGGTGCACTTGGCTTCCCGCCGCCCGGAGATGAGAGCTCCAAAGTGGGAGGAGTGGGGGCTCTAGCCTGCCCCCAGCCACAGGCCACCAACAGCCCAGATGAAAAGTGAAGAAACACTCCCACCCCCTTCACAAATATTCGGTCTTGAAGTCACTGTCACCATCATTATTAATATTATTACCCTTGTCTCCAGAGCCATGGAAGCCAGCGTTCACGAAAGAAGTCACATGCGCGTGACACGCCTGCATCCGGCGGGGAAGTGTGTGTGTGTGTGTGTTTCTGAGCGTGCCTGCAGGAGGAAATGTCTGTGACACAGAACCGTCACACACACTAACGACCATGGCAGTGACAGCACATTCGGTGAGGGCTCCCCAGGTGCCAGGCATGGCGCCAGGACCAGGTGTCACCTCCCCTCAGCCTGACAGCAAAGCCCACAAGGTCGTCACAAGCTTATCGCTTGCCACAGACGGGGAACTGAGCCTCGGGGAGTGAGGTGGTGACCCCCAGGGCCGCCCCGCTTGTCGGTGGCAGAATCAGGCCTCGCCAGGCTCACAGATGGAGGGTCTGGATAGGAAAGGTGGAGGGTCGGGCCGAGGATGCCCTGGGGTTACCACACCCACTCCCCAGGAGGAGAGCAGGGGTACTGCCTGAGAGTCCGGAACCCCCGGAGACCTGACGGGCTCAGCCCAGGGTCACCGTGGAGGTCAGAGGGGCCTGGCGGCTTTGGCCGCAGTGGGTGCTGGCAGGTGCCGTCCAGATGATTCTGATGGAAGAGAATAACAGGGGCCCGGTGGCTCCTCGTGAAGGCAGGGCAGGAGGGAGGGGCCAATCCCGAAGGGGTGAAATGCCTGGCTGGGGCCCATATGAATCTGTAGGCCCAGAACACAGACGTACAGATTCCACACCTAGGGGCCTTAGGCTTAAGAACTGGGAGCTCTGTACCAGGGTTGGTTCTATAACCCCAGGGGTCTGCATGAAGAAAGAAAGGAAGGAAGATAGGAAGGTATGAAGATAGGAAGGAAGGGACGAAGGGAGGGAGGAAGGGAGAGAGGAAGAGAGAGAAGGAATCAGCAGCTCTGTTTCTAACTGCTGTGTGGCCTTGGGTAAGTCACTTCACCTCTCTGGGCATCTGCTTCCTTTTGATCTGATGATAAGACCCTGAGTCACAGCATTTTTCTGCTCACAGAGGATGATGAGGGCCCCGCTGTGGGTCACCTACCCCGTGAGCCGGATATGTGAGCCAGCCCCAGTCTCCGTGGATGGTGGACGTATCCAGCAAATTCACTGTAAAACAGGAGAGGAGAGAACATCAGACCTTAGGACACCATTCCCCAGTCCCACTGTGCAGCCCAAACTGGACATGCTGGTCTGCTCTCGCTCCTGAACATGCCAGCTTCACGCCTCACTTCCCCTCTCCTTCCGGGTCCGGTTCAAGTTGTCCCTCTTACCTGAAGCCATCTCCCACCACCTTGGCCCAAATGTGACCTTCCCAACCCCCACAACATAAGGTGCCTCAAGGGCCGGGCTTGCCTGGTTGGCGATGCAGTGGAATGGCTAAGAGATGGGCTCAGGAGTCCAGGAGGCATGGGCCAGATTCCCAGCCCTGCCACATATGGCTGTGTGTCCCTGTGCAAGTCCCCATCCCCCCAGCCTCAGTTTCCTCCTGTGAAAAATGAGCGTGACGGTGGGTCCTGTCTCACAGGGTGTCTTGAAGACAGCCTCATCCTCGTCTCACTCATGGGACACGACGGCATTCAAAAGCACCCAGCAAGCTTCGCCTCTCAAGGTCATACCTCCCACGGGAGGACCAGCCCAGCTCTGCAATCACCAGTGTCCCTCGGGAGATGCCTGGCACCTACTCCGTCCTCTGAGCACATCTGATGTGGGGGCACCTAGAGCGGGAAACGCTGCCTCTAAGCCCCTACTGTACAGAGGTCTGCGAGGGGCGCTCTAGAAGCCTCCCATCCATTCCCTGCACCATGATGGTCGCCGCGAGGTGGTGACTCCTATCTCTGTTTCACCAGTGAAGACACTGGGCCTTGGGGACATTCAGGAACATGCTCAGAGCTCCACCGGGGTAGCCGGACGGGCTGGCGTCCACAACACCCGTGGAAGCCTCCGCAGACGCCAGCTCCAGCAGACTGAGCCCAGGAAACAGCACCTGAGCGCAAACCACCACGGCCTCGAAGGAGCGCTGGCCCGAAAGGCAAGTCTATTCTAAGCCCGACCCCCAAAGGGGACCCCACGAAGTCTCAGTGACACAACAGAGAAGACCTTGCCTTTGGAGCCAGACACTCTCGGGCTCAGATCACGGCCCGGCTACATAGTAGCAGGTGACCTTGGCTTCTCTGCCCCGTTGCTTCACGTGTAAAATGGGGATAACAATACCTAGAGAGTAAACTGGAAAGCCAGGAGTCACTGCCTTATTAAAGCTAATTCCCTTTCCCAAAGTCCTGTCCCTCCTGCCTCTCTCCTTGTCCCTCAGACCTACCCACTCACTGTACGGTGATGAAGGCGCGCTAAACTGTTAAGAAATTGGGGTTTGAATCTCAACCGCTGTGTGTCCTCCGGTGAGTCCCTTCACCTCTCTGGGCCCCTGCTCCGTTTGCTCTATCTGTGTGATAGGCGTACGAGAGGGCTCTTGGCTCCCCAGTCCCGATGGTTCCCGTTTCACGCTCTCTTCCCCGGACCCCCTCTCCTGTCCTACAACCATGGGCTTCCACTTAGGCCAGCTGGGGCATGTTCCAGAGGGTTAACACCGTGGGGGCCCTCCTGGAACTTTTCTGCAGGGAGGCCTGGTGTCCTTCTGCCTGAAATTTGCACAGCTCGGTGCCTGCTCCTCAAAGATGGAGACAAGCGTCTTCAGGAAATGCTGGAGTGAGGATGCTCTTATTTGCTGATTTTCTCCCTCCTCTTACCCTCCCACCCCATTGTCAGGGGCCCCAGAGGGGAGGCCAGCTAGAGAGAGCTTGCAGAACCAGGAGAGGGGCCTCTGTCCTCCCTGGGTCCCCAGGGGTCAGGTGGGATCAGGGGATGGAGCCAGTGTCCGCAGAAGGATCTCCCCTCCCCAGCCGGCCCCATGCCAGGGGCGCAGGCAGAGAAGCCTTCCCGCCTCCCTCCCTCCCTCTCAGGCAATGGAGAGAAAACTGGGTCAGGCAAGCTCTCTCCTCCTGCTGGCTGGTGGGAGGGGGAGGGGGCCGCACTGCAGTTTCCCCCAGACCAGCAGAGCCTAGTCCTGAGAGAGGACGGGGACAGGGGACAACCCACATTCCAGATGGGGTCTTGGAGCTGAACGCTCTCTAGTCCCCTGAACGCAGCTGCGACCTGCCCCTACCCCAGGGGGGTCAGCGTAAATGCCCACCACTTAGACTCCTCTCCGTTGGGGCGCCGTGACTTGTGGGGCAGCGGCCAGCGGACCCCACCTTCCAGGTCCTTCCCACCCTGGGAAACCTCAGCACATTTGCATCAGATTCTTGATCAGCCAGCCAGGGGGCCCGGAGAATCCAAAGATAAGTCAAAAGTCGATGCTATCGGATTCGGGAAGAGCTATAGGATTCTACGGCTGCCTGTTCCAACTGCTTCCAGATGCTTCCCCGTCCCTGCCCTCCTCTCCTCTCCCTTTGTCCCTCTTCTTCCCCACCTCCCATGGCCTCTCATGGGGGTTGGGGAGGAGACACAGCATATGCGGGTCACGGGAAGCTCCGGGCCCACAGGAGATTGCTTCAGGCCTAGAGACAAGTCCAGCATGAAGCCCACTCCCCCCGAGTTCCCTTGGAAATGCAGAACCTTCTGGTCACCCAGCCCAGGCTCTCTCCCGCTCTCCTGCACTCCTGGCCTGTAGGTCTGTGTGCCTTCCGTGAAGTCAGTTATTCTCTCTGGGCCCATCTCCCCATTTGCCAGTGGGAGGAGTGGACTCATGGCCTCTCGGGGCCTTCAGTGAAGCAAATCTCTTGGCCCCTCGGTGTTCAGTTTCCTCATCTGCAAGATGTCTGTAGGCCTCCCTCTTGGGCCTACCCTCCTAGGCTGTTCGAAGAGATCAAACGGGTCCCTCTCCTGCTCTGAGAAGCACAGATAATTCCTAAGCCTTTCCTGTTCCACTGTGGAAAGCATTATGCGATTTCTTTTTTTCTCCAGCACCGTCACCTTCCCCCATTCCATTTCGCTGAGACTAATACTTAAATTGATTTACATTCCCTGAGGACGCAGTGCGTGATGGTGAGGCTGGAGAATCCGGGTGGCCAGGGGACGTCGGCCAGGATGTGAGTGCCTCAGTGATCACCCCAATGTGGTGGAGAATCCACACCAGAGAGTGATAAGCGGCTGAGGGCCTGATCGGGCTTGGGGGGCACGGCTGCAGGTGTAGGGCCCTCTCCTGCCCCGTGAGGGACCTGGCATGGGGGCACCTGGCCAGGCTGGAGCACTGCTACTTTTCAGGAGCCCAGCTGGGAGCAGATACCCCTCCCTGAGTGCCCACAGTCTCCCTGGCCAATCCTGGCACTGCACCAGCCCAGGACTGATACTGGGAGGGACTCCTGTCCTTCCGGAGGGAGGACTGGCCTTTGCGGAACCTCTGCCCCGGGCTGTCCAGCCCGCATGGCCCAGCCCTGACCCCCTGTGGGTACTCTGCCGCACTGGCTGGACAGGCAAGGACTGGCCCTTGGACGATGCCTCCCTCTGCCCAGGACAAAGACATCCCGCCTGCCCCCTTTTGTGGACCTTGCCTCTTCCCCAGCTGCTGCCCCCTCCCTGGACAAGTCCTCTCTCTTTCTCAGGCCAGTGGCCTGCCTTCTGCAGATGAGTCTGCTCCAAGTCACCTCCCCAGGGGACTCTGGCGGGTGCCAGTCTGCCATTCTGGAAGGTGCTGCATCCTTCCTGGAGAAGATAACTGAAGTGAGCAGTTGAGGGTGTGCGGTCCACAGCCCAGAGCCTCAATGTGGACCCCACAGCATCCTGCCCTACCCCGATCCTGCCCTCTTCCCAACTCACCAGGCCCCTACCTCAATTCTCTTCTGGTGGCCCAGGAACCTGCCTCCGGTCCCCAGCCACCCCAGCTGGCCCAGCTCTGCCTGCCACCTTACCTCACCTCTCAGCTCCCCTGCCACAGTCCCTCTCCCGCTGGAGACTGAGTTCCTCTACGCGTGCATTTATCACGGGCACGTGTGTTTCCGCGGGCGTGAATGCAAGCTGGACGGTCTTCTTATATATGGAGTGACCGCCCCTGTTGCACCTATTTTCCTGGGCATGCCTCTGGACACGTCTGCGTGTGCACAGGCATGTCTACGCACATGTGTCCTGGCTGCACTTCTGTGTCTGACTGTGGGCGATGCTGGAGGTGGGGAGCTGTCCACGCATGTGAGTCTCTACAGGCCTGGGTGTATGTGTGTAAATCCTGATGTGAGTCCATGTGTGCACGTGTGCGTTTCTGAGCTGTTCGTGTGTGAGGGGGGGGATCTTCGGTGTAGCTGAGTGTGGATGAGGGAAACTGGCTCTGGAGCTCCCTCGCAGGTGCAAGAAGTTCATCCTGCCGGGGGGGGGGGGGCACACAGCTCAGCCCCCAGGACCCCAGCCCCCGGATCCTGCCCAGAGCACACGTCAGGCCTCTTCTGGGCCGAGCTGCAGGAGCAGAGGAGGTCCTGAGGGATGGGAGGCGGGGTGCAGAACAGAACCGAGGGCGGCATCCGGGCTGGACCTGGACGTCAGTAAGGCTAACTGTATGCGTGTGCGTGTGAGCACACGTGTGTGCATGCGTGCAGATGTGAGGCCCGGGATGTTGGGGGACCCTGATGGGTGTCTCTTCCCAGCTTTCTTTGCTCTCTCCCACCACCAGGAGGTCACCTCCCAGACCTTTTTTGTCCTGACTGCTCAGCCCACACTCCTGCTCCTACCCCCCCCCACCCCTGGGTTCCCCTTGTGACTGGATTGGCCCGGCCTTGCCCCTGGACAAGACCCTGCTCTCCAGGGCCTTGCCTGCCTCAGCCCCTGGGCCTGCTTCTCACTGTCCCCTCCTCCCAGGGCCACCCTCCTGCCCCTCCCCTCCAGCCATGACTTCCCCAGCCATCTAGCCCGGCCACCTAAGACTCTCATTCCCTGTCCCTCGGCCACTCTCACCGGCTTCCAGCAACCTGGTCCTGCTCTCTGCTCCTTAGTTGTTGGTCCCCTTTCTCAATGCCACCCCTGCCCTCTTCTTCAGCCTTCTGAACCTCTCCTCCCATCCCTGTGTCCCTCTGTTCTCTGTCCCTGCCACGTCCCCTGGTCCTTCCCCCTGCTCTGTCCCCCCTCTCTCCTCTACATCGCCTCTTGTCTTCTGTACCCCGTCCTGCTTCCTCATCCCCAGTGTCCAACCCTCAGTTTTCCTCCCCAGCTCTGAATCCCTCAGTCCTATCCTCCCTCCCTCTCCCCCAGACCCCGGGGACCTCTGTCCCCCATCCTCAAGCCCTCCGGTCCCTATCCTCCAAGCCCTGTCCCCATCTCCATCGCACTGTCCCTTGACCTCGGGTCTCTCCCGCGGTGCCATTCCTGCCCCCCCCACCCCGCCCCCAACCCGGGAATCCCAGCCCCTTTGGCGCTCAGGGTGGAGGGGAAGGAAGTTGAGCCTCGGGCAGCCGGCACCGCGCCCCGGCCCCTCGGCCGCCCCCGCCCCGCCGCCGCCGCCGCCGCCGCCGCTCACCTTCGCCGCGCGCCGCGGACACGCAGGTGGCCGCCGCCGCCGCCGCCGCGGCCGTGACGACCCAGAGAGCGGGGGGCAGGCGGCCCCGGGCGGGGGCCATGGCCATGGCCCAGCCGCGCGGGGGGGGCGCCGCGCACCCTCCAGCTCGGCCGCAGCGGCCGGCGCGTCGGCGCGCTCCCTCGCTCTCCCGCACACCCGGCGGCCGGGCGCACACCCCGGCGCACACGCCGGCACACAGCGCACACGCGGGCACCCGCGCCCGCCGCCGCCGCCGCCGCCGCCGCCCCGGGCGGGGGCCGGCCCGTCACGGCGCCGAGCCAATCAGCACCGAGGCGGGGGTGGGGGTGGGGGACACGGAGCCGCACGGCGGACACCGGCCCGCGGACCCCGCCGCCGCACGTGCGCACGCTCGCCTTCACCCGCCCGCACCTTCGGGGGGCGGCGCGCGCCCCGCGCCCCACGTGCGCACGTGGACTCAGAGCCACCGCGCGCCGAGCCGCGGGCAGGGCAGGACGCTCCCCGCGACACCGGGACGCGCGGGCCAGACGGGGGAGTCCCCGCGTGGACACTCACGCAGAGGCGAGGCGTCCTCCCACATACTCACGCTCACACGCATGACCCTCAGACACACGCGCCCAAAGTGCCTCGCGCGGTGACACATTTGGATGCCCCCTCACTAGTGCCCGGGCAGAGGCTCGAAGGGCAATTCAGAAGCACGCTGGGGTGAAAACTCTCTCCCCTCCCCTCCCACAGCCTAATGGCTGAGCGAGAGGAAGGCAACCCAAGTTTAGGAAGCGGTAGAGTGCAGTGGTCGGGAGTGCAGACATACAAGATTTTAAATCCTGGCTGTGTGGCCTTGGGCATGTTTCTTAGCCTCTCTGAGCCTCAATTTCCAGATCTGTAAAACAGGAATAACCGTTTCTGTGTCCCAGGGTTGTTATGAGAATCCTATTCAAGGACTCAGGGAAGGGTCCAGCATACTGCCAGGCACACTGCCAGGTGCCCAGTAACGGCAGCTGTTCCTAGATGATGGTGATTACCATTCCCTGCCTTTCCCTCCCCTGACTTCCCCCACCTCCAGTTCCATTCTCGGAAGTAGGGATCCCTTCCTGGAAAGGCTGCAGGCTGTGTGCCGATGGCGGGGATGTGGGGGCTCCCTTCCGGGGCCCTGCTTGCCACCTGAGCACCTGGAGGGCCAAGCTGTCTAGGAAGCAGATCCTGGGGGGCTGGCCCTCAAGTGTGGGTACCCCCAGGACAAGTTGGGACTCTGCCTGTGACTTAGCTGGCATAGACCTTTCCTTAGCTCTCTCCAACTGCACTCCCAGCCTCCAAGCTCACCGGGAAGAGCTGGTTGGACCCCTGGCTGGAGGTTGCATAGAATGATCAAGACCATTGGGGGAGGACATGCCAGACCCTGCTTTAGGCGCTTCATAAATTTGCTCTGCTTTGAGTCTCACAGTCCTGCAGCGGCCGTGCAGCTAAGGAAACCTTGAGTGAAGAAAGAGCATCGCTTACTTGCACCACACAGCTGGTTAAATGCTCGAGAGGAGCTCAGATCCAGATCCGCTGGATTCTAACACCCACTTCTTTCCCAGGCATCTTTCTTAGTGACACAAAGGGGGAAGGTAGCTCAGATTAGGTGCTTTCCTGGCACCAACTGCTCAGACCAACTGCCTCAAAGACGTAGTAAGCCCCCTGTTACCAGAGGCATTCAAGCAGACACTAGCAAAAGGCTGTTCAGGGATGCTGTGAAGGGGGCGGGGGTTAGAGGGAGCAGATTGGACTAGACCCGGAGAGGCAAACTCAAATGCCCACATGAGACAGGCAGGCATCCTGATGAAACCTACTGTGGTGGTGGTGGTGGTGGTGGGGGTCTCCCCAGCTCCAGTTCACATCGATTTAGGGAGGGGGGCCCGATTTTCTGTGCTTTCAAGAGAGATTTTATAGCTGGAATTTTTATGTGTTCTCTGCTAATATTTAAAGTTGGCAGCTAATGCAAACGTTTTCATAACAACGCAGTGTGGGCAAGCCTGTGGTGGAGCGGCCACAGCTCCTAGGACTCCAGACCTCCCTGCAGGCTCCTCAGATGGAAGAGTTCATGGCTGGCACCTCGCTTCTGGGGCACTGGGCGCGTGGGCACCGCGGGGCAGAAAATTGCATGGAGGGTGCAGGATGTAGTCACCAGCACTCGTGGGCACCACCTATCCCGGCCGGGGCTCCAAGAAATATTTACTGATGGGAGGAGGCTTTGCTGGGGGCTGGGGTTCTGCATTTCCAGGTCCGGGTGGAGCCCGCTGAACCTGGGTTCTGCCTGTACTGCAGTCTGCTGGAGCTGGGGACTCCTTGAAGGACTCCGTAAGCATGAGGGGCCGTTCTCTGTCACGGGTCTGCTCCATATTCTGAATCTTCTCTAGCGAAATTAGAACTGCATTTCACCGGAATTCTGCAGGGTAAGAGCTGCTTGCTTTCAGTCCTCTCCTCACCCTCCAAAACTCCCAGGATGCCCCAGCCCCCCCCGTGTGCCCTGTCCAGGTCTCTCCTTCCCACCCTTTCCACTCTGCCTGTCTTGTGTGGCAAAGATGCAACTTGCCCACCTGCCAGTGGGAAGAAAGAAGCCATCAGACCCTTCTCCTAAAGAAATGGGTGTCTCACCAGAGCCTTTGGGAATATGATGCCTTCTCTCCTCTCCTGAGAGGTCAGGCAGGCAGGGTAGCTGGGGAGCGGGGGAGCTTCCCTGGCGTCCTTGTCGCCGTCAGCCCATCTCCCAGGCTGGACTCTGCATCCCTTCTCTCCTCAGATCCCTGCTTTTTCCCCATTTCAAAGACAAGGAGAATGAGATTCGTGGGGACTGAAGGATGCAATCAGAAGCCCTGCGAGGTGCACGGGTGGGAACTGGGATGGTTGTGGTTAGCTTGTCTCCTCTCCCCGACTGGGTTCTGAGCCTCTCGAGGACAGTGGCCATGAAGGGTCCTGGCTGGGTGCGGTGGGAACGTTTGCTGAGTGAGTGAATGAGTGAGCAGCCCTCCAAGGGGCCCACGCCTCGCTGGCCAAGTGCTTGAGGCCGCCGTTGCTAAAGCCGTTTCTGGGTTGCAGGACGGTTTGCCTTCTGAACACGGTGCAGGTGTGCTAGCCAGCCCTGCTAAGTGGGCTTGACCTTCACTCCCCAAGGGGTGAAACGGAACAGTGCTCACTTCACCTTCTCCCACCAGCACGTGGGGCTCTTGGGACCTCGCTCCAGCGGAGCAGGCAAGGTGGGGGTGGGGCGGGGACAGCTGAACTTGGCCAAGCAGGACAGCCTCTGACTCCCTCCCCCACTTCACGGTTCCTCCCCCAACCCCCCCCCCCCCCCCCCGCCTTTTGACTTCTCTGTCCTGGAGTGGGAAGGGAGGTTGAAGGGAGCATGACGCAAGCCCCATGATACTCTCCATTTCCTGGGAGAAATACCCTCTCCGGAGTAGTTCTTCTCATTTTTGCCTTTCTGAGCCTCAGTTTCCCTGACCAGAGGGGGATAATGAGGGTGTGCACCAGCTCAAAGGCTTGCTATGAGGCTCACGTGAGTTCACAGGCGTACGCATGCTTGGTAACCCATCATGAGATCTGGGATGGGAAGGCGCTCCTGTGTTTGAGAGGACGGGACTGGCTCTGGGCAGTCCCACACCCCAAGGGAAGCACTCCACGGGGTGCCCCTTCAGGAACAAGTACAAGAGATGCTCTGGCAGGAGGTGGGTGGGCGTGGGTGCTCCCAGTGGGGACAGTGTTTCGTGGTTCATCCCACCCTAACCCCTGCCCAGGATATCCTGTTGCCCCAGGCTGTCTCACCCAGACTCCTGCAGAGAAGCCCGCCCCACAGCTCCTCTCATCCTCTACTGTCAGGGGACTGGAGCGGGGCCCATTCCTCACCTGTGCATATAGAAACGTTGTCTTGTCTCCAGGCTGGAGGATGGAAATCTGGGAGGTCTTAGGAAGAGCCAGATTCCTAGCATGAGGCTCATGTTGCTTCCTCCCTTAGGGCCTCAGTGTTCCAATCTGTAATGTGCCCACTGCACCTGTTTTCCCAAGTTGTAACGGGCATGGAGGGAACTCGGTGCTGGCACTCCACTGGACACGTGACCCCACCCAGGAACGTGCTTGCAGGCTGGAGAGGAGGCAGCCCCCCCCAAAACATGAGGGAGGAAGTAGCTCATGGGACATAGGAAAGATTCACCCAGAACACGGGGAATGTGTTTACTTTTTGTACTTTGCTTCTAGAGCCAGGGCAGGAAAGCCCAAGACAAACCTGTCAGATCAAAATAGAGTACGTGCCACATTTGTAATTCGTTTTTTTTCAAGTAGCCGTATTACAAAAGTAACAAGAAATAGGCCACATCGAACGTCATAATGTATTTGTTGAGTGACTGTTGCCCGGTATACAATGTTAATTTACTAATCAATTTGCTAATTTAACAACTCTGTGCTGAGCCCCTCCTGGGGCACCGTGCCAGGTGCTGGGGTGAACATTTTGGGGCCACACGGACATGGTCCTCGTTCTCACAGAACTTCAGCCTAGTGGGGAGGCAGATAATTAACTAGGCAATTACAAAATCCCTTTCCACATAAGGGAATATTTCAGAAACTGTAGGAAAACTTAAAATAAAATTTACAATTTAAAATATTAAAAAAAAAGTCCTCTTTAAGCAGAAAATACTGAATGTAATTTAGCCCTTGCTCAGTGGCCCAGAATCATCCCTGTGAATAAAGAATCCTCTACTATTGATGTGGGAAAGGACTTTAAGATGAGTTCGTCCATCCAGCCGCTCATGGCGGGACGGTGTGGGGCAGAGGCGCCTCCAGGACCACCGGTGGCGGGCTGAATGGCCTCGTGGACCACAGCGTGACCTCGGGGCCTCTCTGCCTACCTAGTGTGACCCCATCTTCCCAGGACCCCCTGGCTATCTGCTACCTTCTCTCCGCTGCTAGGCTCCTGCCTCTGCCAGTTCCCAGCTACCTCCTGAGCTGCTGCTTCTGACGTGGACTGAGAAAACGGGAACGCTATTAGAATTGTACGTAGAGTAAGACTCCGTGGGCTCTAAGCGAAGGGCTCCCTTGTGAGTGGAGCCCGAG